AGCGATTTTTTACTCAGCTGTTTACTAATAATTTAGGTAGCTGCTCATAGGGATATTAGACGGATTATATGGGGCCATGAAGCTTGAATCAGAACCCCAAAGCCCAGTGAACTGAGGGAGCCCAAGGACTTATGACATGAATAGATACACAGGAATGGCATGTTGTTTCCCAAAATTAAGGGTACCCTTTTTGGAGTCCCTATAACAAGGACTGAAGCCCTATATAAATCCTAAAAAAAGTTTTGCAGACCCAGGCCCGGTTCCAAAGCTGCAGGCGCCCCTCCTTCAGATTTGCGGGGCTATTGATTGCCCTTGTGTCGGGTTTAGGGTTTAGGGCTGTGCTGTTCCTAGACGTGCAGAGTTGGATGACACTTGCGATCTGCATGTTTAGATTGAAGTTTGGGGTTTGGAATTCCGCTACGATAATGTGGTGGACTGCAGGCCTATTATCAAATTGTGGGTATTGTGGATGCAAGCTGCTCCTGCAACATTTTTCCCGGCGTGCAGTTTGTCAACACAATCTTCTTCAATGCTTTCAGGGTTTCCCTGAGCTCTGGTGTTCAGGAGGATCCAGTCATTACTGTCGCCAACTGCTTGCAGAAGCAGCTAGGCCTGAAGCCTGGCAGTCTTCAGGCCTCCAGATTCCACAGATAGGGTCAACACAGGCTTCCTGACTGCAAGTCGCTCCAGCGCGCAGGTCCAAACTCACATGGGTGGTTGTCAAAATTATGGTCCCTTTTTGAATCCCTATTATAATACGGCACCTAATATTTCGGGTACCCAAAAAGGGACCATAATTTTGACAACCACTCACATATGTACATTGTCTACAATATGTTGAAGTCGTCCTGCACGAGAATGAGAAATCCACCAGAAGTCGTAGTAGGCAGGACAACCAAACAGCTCATAGCAGAAACTGCCCAACACGCCCAACCCTAAAACCTCAAAAACCAATCCCTGCAAGCAACGCGCCTAATCCCATACCTTGAATCCTAACAATATAAAAAACAATAACAATAGTAATAGTAGCATAAGAAGCTCCACAGCTGTTTCCTGCAGAGGTGCCAAAGCTGCCTCTCTGGCTGTCGCGGCAAAGCCTGTAGTGATGCCAGCGCCCCAGGATTCGGAAAGAAATCTTAGATGCACAAAAAGTGTATAATGGTACTGTATTTGGAACATTTAGTATTTGGGGAAATTTAGAGGGTAGACAGCTGTTCGAAGGTTTCTGTGTCTAGGAGGCTTCAGGCATTAGAGTGTAGCATCTGGGGTGTAATGGCAGGGGCTTAAGACTTAAGAGTGGATTTGCCCTTGGGAAAGAGGATCATTTGCGTTGATGGTTGAGGGTGCAGGGGATTGTGGGTGTCTGGAGCGTATTCGGGTTGAAGGAATGTATCCCCTGAAAAGATCCCGTGCCCTTTGCATAGGGAGCATCCGCGGTACTGTTGATGGAGGAAATCTTTCACCGACAGGGCCTGAAGTACTGTAATTCCTGGGGCTTCGGGGACTTCAAGTGATGCAAGATTTCCTCCATCCACAGGTCCCCCAACAACATTAATCTATTTGTCCCCTGACAACATTAATTAAGCGGAACTTCGGGGGGATAGTATATGGGGGGATAGTATAATTAGGGAGCCCGTGATTATCTGACTGAGGACCATCGGTGCCGAGTACGTTGGCATGCTCATCGGCCGAGTGCATCTGGCTTGTCCAGCTGGGAGCTGGGTGTTAGAGTCAGGGTGGCGGGATGTTATATTGTTTAGGGTTTAGGGTTTGGGGTTATATCATATGTACACGGATATGTATATGTATGTGTACATGATCTGAAGCCTCATGTGGATGAGATGAAAATTGTGCGGCCTTTTACTTAAATTCTTCAAATCCAACACCCCAATCATTCCCTGAACAATGTTGTGTACACTGCTATGGCCACAAAAGGACAAGAGAATCCCCAAATCCAACCTGAACCTTGAAGCCTGAATCCCAAACACTCCAAATCCTAAACCCCACAGGCTTAGAATGCTAAAGCTCTGAGCCCGGGGGCCAAGACCCAAAGCCAACTTGAACTGCCAGGGTGGGGAGGTGGTGAAGCAGCTCTCTACGGTGCGCTTGGGATAATGGGGTTTAGGGTTTAGGGTTTAGGGTGAGGGCTTCAGGTATGTAGGGGCTTTGATGCGTTATTTTGAAGAAAGTGTCAGTTTTTGTTGCAAGCTTTTCAGTCTGCTTGCAGGATCTGTAGGGCAATTCCGGGGCTCTGGCATGGATGTGGTTCACGTTTGGGCGGTTGTAACTGGCTAATGCTGGTGTTTTGGTTTTGGGAAGGATTTCCCATCCAGCTTGCTTGCAGCCTGTTGTTGTCAAACATGATACTTTCATCATGGGTGTACTCTGGAGTCTTTTGTGGGAACCTGACTGAATCCTAAGCCCGAAGCCTAAAGCGCATAACACTTGAGTGCAACACCCAAAGCCATGAACACCAAATCCCAATTCTGTCTCAGACCTCCGTCTTTGAAACCCGAACCCCAAGATTCGCAAGTTTCACGCACACGTATCATTGGCGAAAGCAAAGAGGAACCCTCAGTACAGCTAATCCTCGAACATTTCAGCCTTGAACCAAATTCTCGGGCGCCGAATCCAATTTGATCTCCCGTCCTACTTAACTACATATAGGTGTTATAAGTTGAAAGAGTGATCATCAGGGTCATAACCTCAAGCAACACATTTGCAACCTCATCTGAGCTATAGTCTGAATTCCTAGTATCCCCCTTAATAACCCCTATAATACTCTCCTATATAGTCCCGTGAAAAACCCCTGTAAGGAGTTCAGATTACGGCTCATGTGTAAACTTGACAGCCTTGACGTCCGCTGGCCGGTAGGAGAGCGGGGCGCGAATTGAGATCTCCAAGACCGAGAACGAGGGTGGCAAAGCTGGCGAGCTGGGAGCACAGTGATGCTCCGGGAGTCATAGTAATTACCAATATTGTTCCTGTACAGTCCTCATATAGCTATACTATGAGAATCGCCCCCACACCCATAGTCTGGGTCATGATCATCCTCAGAGTCATCGTCGTAGCAATGGTAAGCGTAACAGTAGTGGGAAGAGAACGCGTGGTAGATTCAGGTAGTAATGAGAGCATTAACAGTAGTACTAGTGCTAATAGTGGAAATAGGTATGGTAATGGCAGCCATGGGCAGCAGGATAGAATCAATGATGATGTGTGTATTCTTTCTACAATTTTAGCCAATATCGTGGCTCTCATTTTCTTCTTTCCATGTCAAGAGCAGGTACCGTATAGTCAGTCTTTGCGGCTTTCTTGACGTGGACCCGTGCGGTATGGGGAAGCAGCGGGGCGTGCTGTGGATTTTTCAGCCTGATGTATCATCCTACACGAAGGTGAACACTTTGCTGGGGGTACTTGAAAACAAGATGAAAGTAGTAGGTAGAGTGGTACGAAACATAACCATAGCCGACAGGCGTTATGACGAATTGCAACTTCCGTTGCAGTGCGTATGCAGCACAGGGAGTGCAACTGATGCACTCGCCCAGTCAGAGTAATATTGCAAACACAGTGTGCAGTGACGACAGCACGGGTAGCGATGATAGTGCACTCTAGCTTGGGTACTGCCCCCACTCAGTAACAGTTGGATAATACTTATACTATGGTTATATATAGCCCTTAATAGGACTCCTAATATAGACTGTTACTGGGGGGGGGCAGTACCCAAACTCTAGCCACATCACGGGACTATCACTTTAGAGCTGTAGTGCCCAAGCCACTCTTGGGAGTGAACGCGTGACTCGCTGTGAGTGTGCCTTCAACATGGGGATCCCACGGTCAATGTGGGTAGGGGTTAGGAAAGTTTAGGGTTGAGGGTTTAGGGTAGTTCTAGGGTTCAGGGTTTAGGGTTTAGGGTAGTTCTAGGGTTTAGGGTTTAGGGTTTAAGGTAGTTCTAAAATCAGGATCCCACTCTTGCACGTCAGGGTCCCATACTCGAAGAGGAAGAGTACCCCAACAAAGGCCCAGCACAATTTTCACAGCGGCCCACTCCTAACAGTAGAAGTCTCCCCCTACACTGACAATATCTTGAGTTGAGGTATTTGGGGGGCCAAGCCCCAAACCCTAAAACCCTAAACCTTTAACCCTAAAACCTTGAACCCTCAACCTAGAACCTTAAACCTCAAACCCTAAACCCTAAACGTTAAGCACTAAACCCTAAACCAACTGTGGCCTTAGGCGAACAGTCTACATCAGCGGCCTCCAGGATGGACCTCTTTGGAAGCATCGCCCGAATAAGAGATGTACTCTAGGGGCCTACATAATTACCAATAGTATATGGGGTTATATAGGGGTTATATTGGTATAATGGCCTGAATAAGAGATCTTCTAATATAGGGGCCTAAAAATAATGTGTTTTTTTTTGGTTTAGGGTTTGGGGTTTAGGGGTTTAGGGTTTAGGGTTTCGAGTTTGGGGTTTAGGAATTACCAATATTATATAGGGTTATATAGGGCTTATATTGGGACAATGGAAAAGAAAATTGAAACTACTATATTGCAATACGGTTAAGGGGCCTAAATAAATGCCAATATTGTGGTTCCATATTTCCTTGTACAAAAATAGTATATGGTACCTCAAGTGGACTTCAAAATGATATTGGTAATCATTTGGGCCCCTGCAGTATATGGGTATAGAAAAAATATATGTATACACATACATACATATCGTATACACCAGGTATATATTGTACAAGGTGTATCCAGGGGATATTTCAGGCATATATGGGGAAGATTTTGTGTATATATCGGGGTATATACGAGTAATGAAGAATCAAATGGCAAATGATGTGGAAACTACTATAGGGTTAGGTTTAGGATGGTTTAGGATAATGGAGAACTGGACAAGGAACTGTAAACAGCCCCTTTCACCCGACAACAAGCAATCGCTCTGGTAGCATAGTTGCAACGTAAATGGGCGGGATCTTGATTCATAGTTGACGCTAAACCTTGAACCCGAAACCTTGACCCCTAAACCTAAGTCCTAAACCCTAAACGCTAGACCTTAAGCCCTAAACGTTGAGGGGGGGCTTCAGGATGATGGAACTTGAGGACACCTGTTTTTAGAACTTGTGGTCAATAAGCGCTGAATACGTTCGAGCAGCTTTTCTAGTCAAAGATTTGGAGCAGATCTTGGGGGATCCGCCTTGGGAGTAACACCCCAAGCTATGAATCCATCTTACTTCAAACCCCTGAGCCATTTTTTTTGTTCCGCATGGGTGTTTGTTCAGGGTCTAAAATGCTAGTCATGCAGCTGTAATGCAGGGGGTATGGTAGAACAAGTTCCAGGCAGGGGCTTGAGTTTCAACTTGTGATGCTTGTAATCCTTAGGTCTTTTGAGGCTTTTTGTGTGTGTGTGTGTGTAGCGATTGGCTTTTGGACGCCGGAGTTGAATTTTAAGTTGAGAAAAGCAGACAGTACGAAGAAAGAAGCGCACCGCCAGCTTTACCACAAATTCTGACGGACCTTAAGCACCTTCTCCCCTAAAGTCTTTAAAAACCCTGAGTTCTAAAAGACTCTGGACACTCAATTCTGAGCAAGCCTGCAGCCAGAGCAGCGAGGGCTGAATGATATCGGGTAGCAGTTGCTAAAGATTTTAAGCACTTGAAAAGCAGAGCAGCGCAGTAGCTGCAGGTACAGTTATGATAGATGCCGGCAAGCGACATGGTAGGGTAGCACTGCGCAGCAAGAAGAGCAGCAGCCGCAGCCACAACAACTTTTGCAAGCAGGATTGAAAGAAGTCATGGTAATGACTGTGTAGCAGTCATTCTTCTACTGATGACATTTGACTCACAGATGCATGATGATGAAGCTGCCTGGGCTCTCTAGACCAATGGCAGTATCACAAGTGTGTGGCAATCCCGAATCCTAGATCTAGTTGCTTCCATATTTTGGTATAGTATTACATAGTGTTATATAATACGGACCTGAGACTGCCACCTCACTAACTCATGTGAGGGTCCAAGAGGTCCAAATCCTGAAGCTCGAAGCTTTTGAATCTTCCTTGCAGGACGCAGTAGACAAAGCCAAGCAGCTCATAGATGACGCCATCGAGAAGGCCCTTGCACTGAAACGGATGCTAGGGTTTAGGGTTTAGACCCTAAACCCTAAACCCTTTTAGGGTTTAGGGTGTAGGGTTTAGGGTTTAGGGTTCACCTGCTGAGATGAAGTTTGAACTTGGGCTGACCGCAGCTTTAGCCGTAATCGATGTGTCAACGTGCAGTGAAGTTCACCAATGGTGAAGCTAGTAAGTTCCACAAGTTTGGAAGCTCTTGTGATTTATGTGGTTGGTAGCCCCCAAAATAGCTTCATGTTTTATTTCAGTCGCTACCATTCTACGACGGCTCGCCTGCAGAGGCCAAAGAGCGGACTGGCCAGGTGAATCCCAACGTCGGGCGCTGATGCAGGTCTGAGTAGGAAGACACACAGGGATTCTGGAAATGCTTTTGAGCCTCCACCGTGTGGAACCACCAGCCCCAAGCAACCAGCCTGAAAGGCTGCGAACCCTCGAAAGCTATGCCTCTATACTTGCAAACCTGATGCCTCAAGCGCAAGCCAATCTCGCTGTATGACTAGCCGAGACTGAGGCCTGCACTTTGAAAGTGCCCCATGAGCTGATCGGCATGCTTATCGGACGCGGCGGAGAAACCATTAAGGACAAGGGTGCTGAAAATCAGGCTTCATCCAGATGATTGTCGTGAAAAATATGTTTGCCTTCAGAAAAGCTTGGCATTTAGAAAATCGCAAAGCTTGGCTGATGGCTGCTTTTCTTCTTGAGGAAGAAGTACGCACCCTGCCCTAACGCAGACAAACTTGTTTCGGTCTCATCCTGAAGTCTCTGTGGCAGTTGGCCTTTGGTTAGCTGGGAAGGAAGGAATGGAAAAGAACATGGAAACCATTATAATGAGTTATGAGGGGACTGCTATAAGGAGCCCTTCCTCCATTCCTAGCTAACCAAAGGCCAGGTTTTGCACCCTAGCTTCTATGGGGTTCAAAAACAGCATCTACAAAGACATCCCCCACCTTTTCCCTTTGGGATTAGCGATCCAACACGGGGCTTTCCATCCATTGCCTGTTTCGGAGATGTAGAAGGGTGGCTGCCCAACATAGGAGGACCCCAAGATAGACCCTAAAATGCTCTTATCCTGAAGATTGGGAGCCCCCAAAATGGTACCCCTAATTCAAGTCTTGGCAGCCCACCCAAGATGTCTTTCAGGACCTCAAAAAGGAGAGTGGAGCCCGCTGTGGCCTTGGCATCATCCATGGAGACCAAGTATGGAGAGCTGGTCCTTACCTTTTTCTTTATGGTTAAGGGTGTAGGGTTTAATGTAGACCCCTGATTAATCTAATAAACCCCCTCCCCTTGATAGGGCTTATAATAGGGATCCTAATATTAAGGCCCTTAATCAGGGGTCTACATTAGGGTTATGGGTTATGGAAGCTAGCAGGGAATAATGGAGTACATTATATACGGAGTATATAGGGGGTATCTTTGCTACCTATTAACGATTCGCTGGCGCGGGCCCAGAAGAGACCACAAAAGGGCAAGCAAGGGCGGAAGACGTTTAGGGCTTACGTTTAAATGCTTTAGGGTTGACCCTAAACCCTAAGCCCTCAACCTCATTCGGGTCAGGCCTTTCTGTTGCTTTGTATTCGCCACAAACCTCAAACAAGTAGCACGAAGGCTTCTTTAGGGTTTGGGGTTTTACTATTCGGGAATCTCTCGCTGCTTAAGTCTCTGCTTAGCAACAATTTGTTCTTGGCAGAGTACAGTGTCAACTGAGTGTCTGCTCCAACTGGACTTGAAATCACAGAGCGGATGTAACATATCATTTTCAAAAGGGGTTTTAAGAGGGCTATACACAAGGCATGTACTTAAGCCCTAAATAGTAGTTTCTTTTTTATCTTCCGTTATCCCAAAATAATCCCCAATATGACCCCTCACGATAGGCCCTCGCTCACAGACTCAGCAAGGCTACGGCAAAAGTCTGAGTAAGTAGCTCCAACCACTTTCGAGGCTCTTGCATGGTTGCATCTTCACTCCAAATAAACTGGGTTGCTGTTAAGGAATTTGAATTAAGTTACTACAATGGGTATATATATATATACACTTATTGTTATTGATATGGTTCACCCGTTATAGTAACTTAGATTAAGTTCCTATTAAGCTCCTTGGCAGCAACCAAGTGAAAGACGCTGTCCACTGGGGTTCTGCAGTACTCTCAACCTGCCTCACCGGTTGAGTAGCTGACGCTCTGACATGCAAAGCTTCTGTCACGTAAGCCGCCCTCCCAGACTCACTCGAAATCATGGAAGCCCAACCTGACTAGTACAATGCAACACAGAGACTCTGACCTCAGAGCTGCAATTGAGCTGTAGTCTAAACTCCTGAAAGGGGGGTTATATAGGGACTACTAGAGGGGCTATTGAGGGAGATACTAGGAGTCTGAAGCCCATTCTGCATTCTGTGTACATGGACACAGCGGCACTGCAGGGTACAAAGGAGCCTTTGATTGCCGTGGATCTTTTCAATAACCCTCCCTAGCCCGGTCCCACCCTGAAGGTCGAAAGCGCTCATGCCTAGATACCGCGCCCACAAAACTCCAAAGCCGATATGTAATCCCTATAAATCCCAAATATACAGTAGTTTCCATTTTCAATTCCATTATCTCAATTAGGGTTTAGGTTACAAAGCTTGACATGTCAGAGTACACAGCTCAGCCTGGGCCCAGGCATTGACATCGCCAAGGAGGCGGACGAAGAAGGCTGCACAGAAAGCCGGGGCCCCCGAAGAGAATGTCTAGGGATATGGGGGATTATCAAAATTATGGTCCCTTTTGGGGTCCCCTAAATTAGGCCCCGTATTAGGCCCCGTATTATATTAGGGACCCAAAAAGGGACCATAATTTTGACAATCCCCCATATGCCTGTTCAGTTTGAAATATTATTGCTTCGATGACTGTTGTTTTGAGCGCTGTGGGCTGAAGGCTTAGGGTTTGTTCAGGGCTTGCGCAACTTGGGTTGGGAGCTATCGCTATCCACCGCCACGTTGTGACGTGGAAAGATGCTCCTGAGTTTTCTGTCAGTCGCGTCTCTGTATTGCAAATGTCCACTATGATTCTTGGTGCAGCTGAAGCTCTGCTGTTTGCGAATGCTTTGGACTGTGCCAAGGACAAGTGCACATCACAGGGCCTCCAGAGTGCGTGGAGTTTGCATCATGGCCGCACCCAAGTCTGGGATGAAGAAGAGATGCAGCATCCAGATTCTTTGTGAGGATAAATTCCTTTTGGGGGGGTACTGCGTAAGTTCCGTGTGGGGCATAGCTACGCGAACAAAAGCTGTTGGAGAAGAGCTTCACGCTGTGGGCCGCAACTTCTTGTCGTTAGAAGAAAATCCATACACAGAACATGCTGGATCAAATGGGTAGCAGTCAAGTTTCATTTGGTTCCCGGCTATTTAGCAGAATGGCGATCTGGACGCTCTGGTGGTTCTTGCTCGGTGGTCATGTATCCCTTGCTTCGTATGCTAGAGCGTCACATTTGCATCTGATGCTGGTTCCTGGCCCAGCTTTGCTTTCTGATTCAAGCCCTCAACAGTGGGTTTGTCATGTGCAAGAAGCCAATGATCTTACTGGTTCTTAGTACGGAATAAGGGAATACAATCCTTATAAGCCCTATGTACTATAGTATTCCATTTCATATTCCACTATCCCAATATAATCCCAATATTACTCCCAATGTTACCGTATTCCCTAATCCCCCACTCAGAACCAGTTCCTAATGTGGCCGTGGAAGAGATCACGTCAGCCTTGTTAGTTCGATCACTTGAGATGCCTTATGGAGTGCTCTGGACGCGGTTTAGGGTTTAGGGTTTAGGGATAAGGGTTTCGGGATTAGGGTTTAGGGATTAGGGTTTAGGGTTTAGGGTTTAGGGTATAGGGGACAGCGCTTCCTGAGCATGAAGACTGCAAAGCAATTCTCAGCTAAAATCTGATGACAATAACGGCTTATACAGCGGTATTTAGGGGAACTGAGAAAGCAAACGCTAACTACCGTACTATATGGGGTTTGGGGCTCGTATCAAGCACACATCCATAAATCACCATCTCATCTTTATTTGCCTACAGCTCTCTCCCGGCTTGCCCAGTAGCCCCTTATCCGCATGACTTTTGTGCTTATCCAGCCCTACATAATACCTGTGGCCAAGAACCTAAACTCTGAACGATATTATCGTGGTTTCCATTTTCTTTTCCATTCCTCCATACAGTCCCCTAGTCCCATATAAGCCTTACATAATCCCATATTCTATACCCTCGCATACTTGTACAACATAATCCTTGCATAATCCCGACATAGGCCTCTATTTCTATTCCAGAGGCCATATGATCCTCACATAATCCCTAAATAGCCCCATATGATCGCATATAATCCTTAGACAATCCCTAGAAACCCCTATATGCCGATACCTGACCCTAAATCCTAAATCCTAAACCATAAACCCAAAACCCTCAATCCTAAACCCAAAACCCCAAACCCTCAATCCTAAACCCTAAACCCCAAACCCTCAATCCTAAACTCTAAAACCTAAACCCCTGAGGCCAAGAAGATGATTGAGGACATGCTCGGCAAGTCCCGAGAGGGCCGTGATAAAGATGGACCGAGGCTGCCAGCGTTCATGCGCCTCCCTATGTAAGCCATAGTCTAAACTTCTATTAGGGTTTAGGATTTAGGGTTTAGGGTTCATGTTTTAGGGTTTAGGGTTTAGCGTTATATAGGGGACTACTATAGGCTTATTAAGGCGGATAGTAGGAGTTTAGACTATGGCTTATTAGCGGTCCCTTTTTGGGGTTATAGGGGATATATCGGGGTATATGGGGACTATTGTGGGACATATGGGCTTAGGGCTAGGGTTTTCAATGATTGGAGGTCCCTTTTCCATTTCCGGTAGTAAGGAGAGTAGTATTTCGGATTCATATGAGTAAATTTTACTTGAATCATAATTTTTAATGTTCCTAAACATATCACTTCTCTCATTATTCAGATTAGCCAGATTATTAACATGAAACCCCTAAAGCTAGACATTCACTTAATGTATCATGGTGCTCTTTTGGGATTTTGTGCAGTATTGTTATTATTATTGTCTTTGGTGGGGCATAGGGATTTTGAAGGTTCAGCACGTAGCTGGACGTGGCTTGGGTTTAAGATTCAATGGTTATAAGTCAAACTTCCGGGTTTCGGGCTTAGCAGTTACCCTGATTAGAGTGGAGTGCCATGTTTATTCTTCTCTTTTGCGGTATCACTGTGTTCTGTAGCAGCCTAGATTGGTAGAACATGCTGACAGCCGGCTTGCAAGCCGAAAACCTGCCCTACGGGTATTGCAGTGAGACATTGGGGTCTGGGATCCATGTTTTTTTTACCGATGCTTGAACTCTGCATGGTCCGTAGAGAAGAGGGCAATATAATCACTATGTAATCTTTACATAACATTTTCCCTCATGCCCTACGAACTGCCAATAAGTTTGGACGCAGCTCTGCGGCTTTTGCTCGCTGACCTGCAAGCTCCTTGAAGGAATCAAAGCAGGATCCAAAGCATTGACATAAAACTCAAATCACATTCCATACTTGAAGCTGACATGAACTTGTTTCTTAGCCGCAACATTGACAATCTCCTCCCCCAATAATCAATACAACCCCTCCTGAACAGGCTCGCCATTCTGTACTGGCACTGTACTGGGTTGCTCTTAAGGAACTTGGTTCAAGTTAACTATATTGGGGAAACCATCCTAGTTTCTTTATATACCCACTATGGTAACATAATTTAAGTTCCTTAGCAGCAACCCAGTGTAGTGGGAGTTTTGCTTATTCAGATCCCCAAGCCTCTGTTCTTCGCCCAGAGCTTGTAGCTGGAATTTCGAGGTCAGCCGGCATGCTGAGCCATATGAGCTATAGTCTAAACTCTTACTATCCCTCTTAAAGCCCTTATAGTAGTCCCCTATATGATCCCCCTTGAAGTTTAGACCATAGCTCATATGATAGCCAGGCCAAGTTTGAGCTAGTCTCAAGCGGGGGCCACTGAAACATCACCGACCGCCTGGGCACATGCCTTGCTCCTTACTGCAACTGACCCCCCCCCCAAATTTGCCTAAACTCTAAACTCTCAACCGTAAGCCTTTGATACGCCCCGCCCCTCAGTAACAGTTGGATTTTTTTTTAAATATGGTCATATGTAGCCCTTAATATGCCCCCTAGTATAGACTGTACCTGGGTGGAACCAGTACCCAACCTAAGCCGTACCTAAACCCCAAAGCCCTAAGCCCTGAACCCTAAAGCCGCACTCTTGCTGTCAGGAAACCAGGAGGGCGGGTCATCAAGGCCTGCTGGCTACTACCTAAGCTCCCATATGGGGGTTTCCCAAAATTAGGGGTACCCTTTAAAGGGGGATATAGGGATTCTATAGGGGATATATAGGCTTTGTACCCTTTAAAGGGGGATATAAGGATTCTATAGGGGATATATAGGCTTTAGGGTTTAAGGGTTTCCCAAAATTAGGGGTACCCTTTAAAGGGGGATATAGGGATTCTATAGGGGATATATAGGCTTTAGGGTTTAGGCGTTTCCCAAAATTTGGGGGACTTTTTTTGGGGCCCCGACAACAAGGATTGTCATATTTTGTGGTCTATATTGGGGTCTCCCTATTTTGGGAAACTGCCATTTTTCACTAGAGGAGGAGTTTAGGCTGAGGGCTGAGGGTTTGGGGTTCAGGGTTCAGGGTTAAGGGTTTAGGGTACACAGATGTAGAGCTCACGTATTCCGGGGCCATGGAAGCTAGCAATCCCAGCATTTTTGGAGTGTAAAGAGCTTTAGACAGATTACAGGAGCCAAAGGCTTAGGGTCTAGGTTTTAGGGAGGATTTATGACGCGTGCGTATGATCTTCAGTAGGCAGGTTTGTTTGAAGTTTCTTCAGTGCATTTGGGCGCTTATGCTTGGCTCTTGTGGCATTGTTTGCAGAGTCAAGCATTCAGCACTTAAGGCTTTGCCGTATGGGCTTGCACCCTCAGGGACTGGGGTTCAGTGTACTAAGAAGCTTTCCCCTGAACGCTCGTGGCATGGGGCTGTTTGGCGCTGCTATGATCTAGTCAGGTCTGAGTTCCAATCATGGCTAACATCCTGGACCTTGCATCTAGCACACATGCTTCCTGTCTCTTCTAGCAGCGCAAACTATTGGGCGGCCATTCCTCTTCCAGTGCCTTCAAAGTATTCCTTTCCTAGGAATCCATCAGCTGCAGCCATAGTATCAAGGCTAGTGATGGTCAAGATAGCAACCCCGGAATCGGAGTTAGAGCCTGCATACCAGCTCCAGCCCGGAAGAGAGCTTGCGTCCGTAGCTACCAGATGTGGCAGGTGCCCACTGACATGATCGGAGCTGGTCTCAGAACGGAGTGAAGGGTGTAGGATGGAAATTACAGGAGTGATAGGGGTTATATAGGAATAATGGAAAAGAGAATTGAAACTACTAGGGTTCGTATTGGGGTTCTGAGGGATAATGGAAAACAAAATGGAAACTACTATAGTAATATAGCGTTTAGGGGCATCTATTGGGGAGGATTAAGAACATTGGATGTTGGAGTTCCTTTTCCTGCAGCTAGTTGCGCGAAAAGGGTTGCAGGTGGGTTTCACTTCCGACAATGCAACAGCATGAAAGCAAGAGACCGCAAAGGCTTGTAGTGAAATGAGGCCGCAGTGAGAGGGACTTAGAGCTTAATGTATACATCCCATGCCAGCTTGCCCATGAATCCTGGGCGACCCAGCATGCAAAGCCCTTCTGGACAAATTCTCTCTTCACGCAAGCCCCTGACAAATCGAAAAAGCTACCCCCTGAACCATCAAAACCCGAATTATAGCAGCAATCCTCTTAGTAAATCTAACTAGTAGTCAGCAGAAACACGAGTAGCAGTAGCAACACAAGATCGCGTGATCTTTCTAGCACCCCAAAGCCTCCAAAGCGTGAACCCTAAACCCAAACAACAACCGCAGCCCTTAATGGTAGTTTCCATTTTCTTTTCATTGTCCCTATATAACCCCAATGTGAACCCTATTATAATATAGTAGTTTCCATTTTCTTTTCCATTATCCATACACAACCTCATATTATACCCATATATTCCCTTATTCCCTAATAGCCCCCAGTAAGCTGAGGCGTCCTCATCGGCAGGGGCGGCGAGACCATCTCGAAGATCCAGAAAGAGTCGGCGGCGCGGATCGAGATCCACAAGGCTGGGCCATTTAAAGGGGCTTAGGTTTTAGGGGTTTAGGGGTTTAGGGGTTTAGGGGTTTTGGGGTTAGGGTTTAGGGATTTATGACTTAGGGTTTGCTAGGAAAGGAGAATGAGGGATGTTGATGTTGGGCTTAGGGCAGTTGGGGACGAACTAGGCTTCATGCTTCAGGGATCTCAAGGTTTTGGGATCCACGGTTTGCAGTTGAGGCTTTAGGGTTCAGGGTTTAGGGTTTCGGTTCGGAGGGCAATTAACAATGCACCTGGGGTTCAGCATCTCCGGTAGCAAGATAATGTTGTTAATTCCTGCACAAAGGGACCGGAATCCATTTCTATATCCTCAGGAACTTTCCCAACACCTTTAGCCAGAAACGCTGAACCACGGCGGAAGGATGATCGCGATGCTCTGGATCGCAGTGTTACAATCAGTGGGCCCGCGGACAACATCGAGAGGGCCCGGGCTTTTTTGAGCGGTGTTCCGTAGGTAGGTGCTAAACCTTTGTGTGGTCCCGGTCTGGAGATGTATCCCGTTGTTTGGAGGGTTTTGGGGGACCTGTTTGTCGCATGTGCCCGTTGGGATTTCGTCTTTACAGGTAGAGAGCAGGTTGCCCGTGCTCGGGTTTCCGTGCTCGGTTTTTGCAGACAACCTTGTGTGGTGAGGTGCTTACAGGTGAAGCCCTGTGGAAGCAGGTACAGGGCCGTCTCGGTAAAGAGTTCTGCTGAGAACCCAGTACTTGTTTAGGGAAGTGCAGTCTGAGTTAGTGCCTATAGTGGATCTTGGTAATTATATTAGGGTCCTCTTATAGTCCTATTATACCACTATTACAGGGTGGCGGGTCCTCCTAAAGTCTGAGTAATGTTTCGTGCCAACCGCAAATTTGTTGAAGTCAATAAGCCTTGTTGCCCAGAAACTTCTAACAGTATCTCTAGCCCATGTTTTGCGCATGCTGTCTATTCAAGCCAAGATGAGTTTTCGCATTTATTTTGTATTTTTGTATTGAGCAGCCAGTGGCTCGACACTTGAAAACGTAGCCCACATCCTTTTTTGTAGGGAGCAATGGCGAGGATGCATTGTTCCTAGGTCTGTATAGCAATTCCAGGAGTATTCAGGGCTCCGCTTTTGGCATGGAAGTCTCTACTAGCGCAGCGTATTTTTTGCCTGAGGGTTTACAAGGTTGTTTAGGGTTTAAGGGGTTAGGGTTTAAGGCTTACAGCACTAAGCCCAAAACTCTTAACCTTAACTGGGATTTGGAGTCTAGTATCCGTGAGTCGACATGCGTGGTGGCTTTCAGGGCAGGACCGGGAATGCGTAGCTGGTCTAGGGCTTAGGGTTTAGGGATCTATGGGTTTAGGGTTTAGCATTTTTCCAGGATGTAGGGTATACCTTTCTAGGATGCACAGTGCGGGACTTCAAGAGGTGCAGGATTTATGAAAAGTAGCCTCTTGATGCGCATATTAAACATCCTGAGCCTTCGAATTAGATGTGTCGTCCCAACATATACGGCTGTCTACGGCAATTTTACAATTTAGAAGGGGTTGGGATGTTTAATAGTATCATGATAGGGTTATCAGACATCAAGGCCATTGGTGGGCGTTTAGACCTTAGAGATTTTACTATGATGGCTCAGAGCTTACCCCCCGCCTGCCTGGAATGACAAGCAGTCCGAAACCCTAAACCGTGATGTGTGTATGTAGGTGGGTGGGGAGCGAGGGGGGGGTGAGTATTAGGCGGCGGGGCTTGAAAATTCAGAGGGTTCAGGGTTTGGATTTGAAATGGCACGGCCTAGAACCTTCAAACCTACACGCATAAGAGGTTCATGTGCAAGGCCACACTAATCTAGGAATCTAGGATCCTATCGTAGTCACATGACAGTCAACATGACTTACAGAGCCAGATATTCAGCCTTTTGCCAGGCCATCCGTGCCATCGACGATGTGCTCGATGCTGCTGAGAGACAGGGCAAGGGCTCGCGACGTGAAGCCCTTGGCAAGCTGCTGACCATGTTTGGGGTTTAGGGCTTTATTGTTAGTCATGTTGTAACTTTCGCGTCTGCGAATTGTTGTCATGATGTCATTGCTGTTGTGTCTGCTCTTCTTGCCATCCTTGCTGTCGCACAGCGCTGTGGGTAGTGGGCTTTTGGTGCGGATAGTCCGAGGCTGGAGGTAGACTGACGGCTGAATCTTGGTTTGACAGTTAAGACGTAGCCATTTTTATCTCTGTCCATATCAGGAGGGTTGTTCAGGAAATTGGTACGCTTGGCCTCTCCATTTCCACATCCGTGATGCCCAAGTCGGTATCCATTTTTGCAGAAGAACGCTCTAGGAGATAACTGGCAAAGAGGTTTTGCAAGCTAACACGCTCATGTTGAACAGTTTGCGGGTTAGGGATACAGGAGGGGTTGAGGAGGTGTAATTACCGAATCCGCTGCACTTGATGATTATTATTTCTGTCCCAGAGCTGGCATCACCATGCCAGTGGAATAGGAGGTATTATTCTCTACAGCATTGTTACTGCTGGTAGTATCGTTGATTTGGCAGCTATTGATACCCATATCCTACTTATCATATCGTCCCATCAGGCAGAAGAGATCACGATTCGCCAAGAGCTCAGCTTTGATGAGGGAGGGGGTCAGATTGTGGGTACGCCCTCCGTCTCTGACTATTCGCTGTTTTGGAGGCCTTCTTTGCGGGTATTGGCTCGGATCTGCGCATGGATATACATGTGCATCTTTCAGCTGAGTAGTATTCTACTTGGGGAGACTATGGTACCCAATATAGAGTAAGATTATATCCTCCTTTTGGGTATAGTATTCTATATAAGGAATATTATCTTACTAGGTTCAACCACCAAAAAAACGCTACTCAGCTGGTTCTTGGGCTTTTGCTAGTGCTTCGTCAAAGGTCGAAGACTAGGCGGCCAGGCAAGTGCGGATTTTGCTCTCAGAAAGGGTGGGTTTAGGGTTTAGGGTTTAGGGTTTAGGGTTTAGGGTACAAGCCCTACCACAGCACTCAGCTCGTCCTCAGTGCCCATGCCTTTATCCAACTTTCCCGATCCCGAACATGTTGCCTCGTTTCTCAACAGTGAATCTTGTAGCTCCTGATGCTTACCCCTGGAGCTGACATCCAGGAGACAAAGCCCATCTTTAGACTGCAAACTTTCGGTCGCACTCCAAAAGCCAGAAAAGCGCAGTCCTGTTTCTACGCACCCAGGGATTTATAGCAAAATGAGTCGCTCAAAACCCTGTAACCCTGCAAGTTGAAAGCACTCGCAGCATTGGATGAACATTGAAATCTGCCGAGGAACGCTGATGAGGCCAGCGGGAGGGAGCTGGGCGTGCTCAGGAGTTTAGGCTTTAGGTCGGCTAGTCGGGAAATTTCTCGGGTGAGAACAATAGATACAGAATGGGGGTAATGGAAAACAACATGGAAAGTACTATATTATAGGGTTACATAGGGGTTATATTGGAGTAATGGCAAGTAAAATGGAAACTACAACATTATATGGGATGCACTACAAGAACTGCGCAAGCTTCAGAGATTCAGGTCTTGCTTAAAGCTAAGGTCCACGTCAAGCCTGACCCAAATGGTTACGTTTGTTGGTCACCATAAATGCTTAGGCAGAGAAACTTGTGAGAACAGCTGGTCACCTGCCGAGTGCCTCTTTTGCCAAAAGCAATTGTTAAACACAAATTGGGATATATCATCCTGCCGCTGGAAAAAGCACCTTCTGATCTTCACACAGCGCCCTCCGCATGGAGAGAGCAAAGCTTGTGCAGAGCCGGCTGTGAAACTGTGGCTAAGACCTGTTTTTCCAACGCTGCATTGGTTTTGTTCTCTTATTGGAATTGGTGGCCCGGCTGATCCAAGTGAGCTTCTGTGATCACAGGCCTTGTAAACACTAAGCAACAGCCCTCCTCCTAAACTGCTAACCTTCTGAGAGCGGATGCCAGCATGTGAAGGTGTAGAGTGTTTTTTTCGGGACTGCACCTGCTGTATGGAGCTTTCGTTCATGAGCCGGTTCGAAAATGGGTGCCACAACAAAAGCTGCTAACTTCGAGCTTGCAGTTCCAGACTCCAGCAGCCCCAAAACCTCCTTGTGGCAGGGCGCACTGGTCCCCATGGACCGGAAGCCATCACCCGTCAGGGACAGCAGCTGCCTGGTTAATCAGTCAGAGGATAGACCCTATAATGGAGAATCAAATGGAAAAGAAAATGGAAAATGAAATGGAAACCCTAGGTCCTTTAAGGGGGTATATAGGGATATTACTCCCAATAATGGAGAATCAAATGGAAAAGAAAATGGAAAATGAAATGGAAACTGGAGTTATATAGGGGTTATAGGGTTGTTCCAAAATATAATAGTAATAACAATGGATGGACTGGCGGCTTCCTCCTGTAGAGTTCTTATGAGAAGGCTTTGTGAAAACCTGGTTTGTAGAGGCCTTGCTATGCCACTTTTCTGGTGTTGGGGCCGAAGGCTACGTATCCTTTAGTTGCAGCATGAGCTCTTGGACTTGGGTGCTCGCTTTCGGAAGACATAAAACTTTCGAATTCAATTTTTAGTCCTGGCAGCCTGCTGTTTGCTGCTGTGCTACCAGGTTGTCATAAAGGACATCAGCTCTTTGCATTGGTTAAGACGTAACTTGATCTGAGCGTATAGGACCAAAGCGATTTTGGGACAAGTTTGGGTAGGTGGAGGGTTGATGACAAGGGCCAGGTACATTACGTGGTAGTGTAGAGAATATTCATCAAACTAATGCTTGCTGCCTTGAAAAGTGCTATCAACACATGGTGGCCAAGTCTTTGTGGGGTTCACACAGGAAATCCTAACCAAATCGGGGGACGCCCTTGCGCCGGATGTGGCTGAGGCTGGCTTTCAGAGAAAGTCTACATTGATGAGGCAACTCAGCCGCACTGAAGCTGTCTTTGTCTAACGGCCGCCCGGCAATTTCTCATATCAGAAGGCTTTGTAAGGTGCAAACTGGGAAGTCTGTTCATGCCTGCACAGACCTGATCCAGGTCGACATGCCAAGCCATAGACCTACCTTGGCCCTCCAGCTTCAAATCATTGAGCTGAGGTCGACATGGCCTACAGACCAAACTATCTGCCCGACCACGAGGATCTGGGCTGTCAGTTGGGCAGGTCTTTTCTTGACATTTGGTGTTTGGGTTGGGCTGGGCTAGCGGCTAGCCTTGGCATATCCAAGTTTGTGTTCCACTTGGCGAAGTGCATTTTGCCTCCTCAGGCTACAGCTTTCACAAGTTGTCACTCTTTGACATTTGGGACAGTCATGCGGCATATCGTACAAACTGGACAGGGCCGAGCGACACGCGGGCCAATTCATTGATGATGGCTTGCAAATAACCCTCACATCAGCCAAGGCGGCTTATACGATTCGCTTCTGAGTGCTAACTCCGATACTGTTTCGTATTTGCAAAAGTATGAGGTTGCAGCAGCGAAGAGTCTCTGATGATTGCACAGCTGTCGCCAAAACCCTTGGTTTTAGGACGGTATGCCGACAGACCTGGAGATTTTTGTCCGGGGCCTCCCGAAGGCTTTCCCACATCCTGTGTGAGCTCTCGCCGTGTGCAGGGTTTCCCAAAATTAGGGGCACATCTTTGGGGGTGCCCCCCATAATAAGGGTTACAGTATTTTGGGGTCTATATTGGGGTCCCCTTTTTGGGGAAATCTCGGTGTAGCTCTTGGAACTGCGCATTACTGGGTTGTGTAGCTTCTGGAGCTGCGCATTACCGCGTTGGGGGCAGCTCGTCCTAGGGTTCTTGTGCTTGGGGCGCTTAACATAAGAGTTCGGGGATTCAGGGCTGGAGGCCCTATTCAGAATCTTCTCAGAGCTCCGGAATACCAATTTTTGAAGTATAAGCATGCCGCTTCCTTAGACGTATACATTTAAGCTCAACACTACAGACCCGCTTGCAGAGTCTCGCGACCGAGGAAGCTGTCCAAGTGAAGAGCGGGTCTTAGGATGCAACCAGTGCCTACAGCAACATACTCAGACAGACTCGTCGCACGTTCCGGCAAGTAAAGGAGCGTAGTTTTGCGCATGCGCGGAAAGGAAGGAACAGTAAAGTATAGGGCTCTTGCACAACCCAGCCGCCCCACATGCAAGACTTTTAACGAACCATTTGGGTAGTTCCCAAAATTAGGGTCCCATTTTGGTACCCCTAAATATTAGGGGCCGTAATAGAGCCTATAACCAAAGGGGTTTTGAGAAACTCCCATTTTCGGTCATTCCTTCAGACTGTCCAAAGGAAAGGAGAAGCTTCGAACCAGGCATCACCTTCGGACCTCATTCGCATAGCTACAGTCCCCCTTTAGGGTTTAGGGTTT